AATTAAAATCATATAGCCAAGCAATTTTATCAGCATGAAAGTTTTAAAAATGCTGCATTGTTTATTTTTAAGTCTTGCATTTTGCAAGTTTGGACATCAGCAATATAGACATGCAAAGTTGAAATATGTTTTTCAAAAACACCCTGTATATATGAAGATAATGTTTTCCAGTGACCCAGTTAAAATCATTTGCTTAGTTGCAATATTGAGGGAAAAGTATTTTTGTCATTCTAAATAAATAATGCTAATTATTCAAACAATTTTGTCAATATTACATGTTCAGGGAAATTGATATCAAATGAATACACGTATAACTTGTTATATATATATATAGTCTTTATGCCTGTAAGGATTACTTTTACTCATAAAATGTGACCATTGAGAAAATGTAAATTAAATTAAACACGCAAGGAAGTTTAGATTTATATATTAAAGAAGAAAAGAGGTTCTTAATTTACCCAGTTAACAATACTCGATAAAATTTTAAGTGAAAGGAATAACGTAGTTAAATTATAAAGTCAAATCACGTTGCAGTGCATTTTCCTGCAATATGAAATAACAAAAGGAAAAGTAAACTTGGCTAATTACTTTTTTTGTTTTGATATATGTTTTGGTGTCATATATGATAAATGGTGTGCATTGTTGAAGCAACATGTAAATAATTTCATGTTAAGTGTAATTTATCTTATTTTTAAATTAATCTGTTGAAATTCTTAGTAGTAGAGACCCACGCCTCTTAAAGGACCTTAACATAATTCACGTTAACAATTACGGGCAGACAATGGGGCTCACATATTTTCTTCTAATAGTAAGAAAAAAGTCCAAGGTAATCTAACTTAAAGCAATATGAGCTGCATTTCTTTAAAAAAATATAATTTGCTTTTAAATTTTAACCTTTATGATTAATTACACTGAAATAAAGTAGAAGAAAGACTTCTATGTACAATTAAAAATGACTTATATAGGCTATGCCTGCTGCCCATTCCATTTAGGTATTTATTACATAATAAAATATGTTCAAATAAAAAAAAATCAAATCAAATCAAATATACAATTTTATATATGACATCAATATTGTACAGGACGACAATAATGTAACTTTGATTCAATCGAAGCTTATAAATATAAATATGAACAACAGAAGTTTATTAATGTTATTTTTTCTGTCATTGAAAAAGTATTTACAGTTTTGCAAGAAAAATTTCCGATATGAATGTAGCAGCTCATATTGCTTTAAATCAATGTCATATCCAATATACCATTGTCCTTTGTTACAACATAATGTTTCTTTGGAATTGAATTACCATATTTGAAAACAAAGGTGTTTATTTTTGTTTGAAACTCTGCCTAAATAAATAAATTTCTGTCAATCATCCTTTTTATCGCGACATTTTGTCGCACAAGTAACACACATTAATATTTTCTTCTATCCCCAAATATACTTAAACATTTGACTAATTTATATAAACTGTCTTAATTGTCATAATTAGTGGCCTAATAAATAAATAAAACTGGTTAAAAATTAATGAAGGCGTTTAAAACACTATAGTTTTTTTCTAGTATTGCAATATTAAATTAAAAAATGCTAATTAACCCGTTTTTGAGAAATGCATTGCTAAGTTGACAATACACCGGAATCCGCCCTAAGTCTATTATTTCTTCTTAATAAATTATAAACAAAAGAATTAATTTCCCAAACAAGTTTCAGGTGCAGCTTAGTGTGCAGTTATTCGTTTACACATTTTTATACCTTGTCAAAATTTAATGTGTACAAATGCGGCGGTTTAAATTTGAATTAATATTTATAAGGTTTTTATTCTTTTTTGAGAAGTCGTCATCGTCAGTGTATGGTAGACAACGACAACGATCTTTCTTTCGAAATATTCAAGGGAATAATAAAGAAGTCCTTTATATATTAATTTTCTTCAGGATTCAATATTTACGCGTATTTTATTTTTTTTACCATTATTGTCATCATATCAACGTTAAGTAACATATAAAATTGCTTTAAACCTAGCCAATTTACACATTTTCAAAATATTTTGCTGGGTTTTATTTTAACTACAAGTATACAACTACTTTTTTTTTATTTTGGAATTTTTTTTTCAAAAAAAATATTAGCAAATAGCTGCAAGAAAATTACAGGTAATGGATTGCTTTTTAAATGTTGTGACAGAGAAAGAGAAATTAGATTTAGGTGCCCTATAAAGGACCTGTTGCACGTTTCTGCAGAAACTAAGTAAATCAGGAGGTATTCTTAAGGAAGATCTTAACACAACTCATTAAAGAGTTCTAATTCCTTGGAAGGTTTATGCAGTTTGAGTTATCTGCCATTGAATGTATATAGAGTGACAAAAATACTACATTAAATGACAAACAATCGAAAGATTGAATTCTTCTTAACATTATATATTTATTATTACATGTATTAATATCAAAGTTACCTATCAGCGATGCATGCAATTTCATTAATTGTGGAAAAAGCATACTACATGTAATTATGTTTATACAAGACTAATTCATTTCTATTTCGCACTTTAACAGGGACACCCCGTGTGGCGTTTACATCTCAGATCAGCTTAGAGGGCGCCATGTCTGACGTCAAGAGGAACCAGACGATCGTGTTCGATTTAGTAGAGTATAACTTAGGACGAGGCTATGACCCTACGACCGGGAAATTCAAATGTGAAGTTTCTGGAACTTACGTGTTTTTCTTCAACATCTTGACCAGGCCACATATGAGGCTAGGGGTGGATCTAACAATTAATGGAGAAACAAGGTCCGCTTGTGCTTATTCTGGTGCGGATCCAAACTTTAGTGTCAATGGAAGTAACATGGTCGTTGTACATTTGAACAAAGGAGATGAGGTTTGGGTCCGGGCCCACAAAAGCCGAGATCCGCCACCCGGTGTTATGTTGTCGAGTTTTGCAAACAGTTTTGCTGGCTTCCTATTGTATGCAGATATGCAGCTTGATGGATGATCTGTTTTTAATGACATCATTATCTGTCAAAATGCTCTTCTTCTCCAATAATGAAATCATTATGACTGTTGTAAATACCGTCTCATGTATACATAATATAAACAAATACATTATCAGAACATTTACATGTTTGTAGTGTTATTTTGGATGTAAAAAATGAGAAAACAAGGTTTTCGCATGGCTCTTTTAAAAGAAAGAATGCATTTGATTGTCTTGTGCTACAAAAGAAGAAAATAATTATTGATAGGGACCTATACCTTTTAATTATATATTGCCATAGCCAATTGAATATTTTTGAAAAAAAATTATATACATGCACCAGTATGTTAATAAAAAAAATCAAGTGTCATGCTACCTGAATGCAATTAGACGGCATTTTATATAAAAACTGTTGAGACTCTAACATTTGCCAGTGGGTGGCTGCAAATTGTACTTTTATATTTTGCATTCAGTACCATTGAGCAGTGACTGATCTCGCTAGCTCGAATCTCTCATATTCTGCTATATACGGGCTGCGATACGGGACCTTGCTTCGTACGGTCTCTTCCAAAGGACCGGTCTCCGACACGGTAATGATGACAAAATTGTATAAAGTGACATTAAAGCGTTTTTTAAAAAGGTGTTATTACATTACCGATTTGACTAAAAAGCACCTTGTACAAAAAGAAATCTGTCATATCCATAATACATAATATGATACAAAATGATACACAAATTGAAAAAAGGAAGGATATGATTCGTACATCCGCCTATTTAAGATATTAAAAATACGAGTCCTTTGTTACCATCCCATTTAGTCGCACGCCTGGCGCAGTGGTTAAGGTTGCTCTAACATCGCAGATTCGAATCCATTCGAATGAATCCATTCGACAAGGATACCGGTCCTTCGGATGAGACTGTACAGACCCTGGCCCTGGCCCCGGCCCCGTGTAGCAGCGGGCATTGCCACAAGTGAGATCCCTCACTGCTCAACGGTCCCGAGTGCCGAAAATATGTCTCAACATTAGTGAATATTTTCAAAAGAGTTTGTAAGCAAGGAACAAATTAATCCGTTCATTTTCTATTGAGTAGTTGATACTTGTTTTGAGGGGGAGTTCAACTTTTCAACAGAGCATACCATCCCCCTATTTTATTTACAAGCATCGAAAAGTAAAAAAAAAACGTGTTATGATTCCATCAGTCTTACAGATTACATTAATTTGTCATATAATCATTTAAACTTCAGACTGTAAATTGATAAAAGACAATTTAAATAATAATTATAATAATAACTAGAAACGATCTCGTTGCGAGCAACGAGAGGTCTTCCGTCCGATTCTAGAAAAAAAAACTAGTAAAGTTGAGCGAGAAATGATTAAAATTTTGGTCACAAATTGAATCCAGGTCGCCAGCGTGAAAATCCCATCCGCTTTTTTCCCCTTTTATCCCCAATGCGCTAACCATTACGTTATTGGGAATAATGCTCTAAATGTACTTGTGTATACTTTTCTACAGTACACCTGTCTAAGAATTATAAAAGACGGGCCATTATTAATAATTTCGCGCCAAACGCCACGCTAAATCTTCGCGCCTTTTCTTTGGACTGATCTATTAAATAGGTGTGATAGCTTCAATGAAATTAAGAAAAAAGAACGTTCTCATAGCCTACATTTCGAGGTTTAGAAAATATATTTAACATATTGTACACATTCTATAGAAAAGTAACACAAAGGCAGTGAAATGACTTTAATTTAATTTTTTTTATTTCCCGTCTCAGAAGTGATCTATGCCGATTAGTTACACTTTCATAAAAAGGTTGAAATGTTTCGCCGAAAAACATGCCTCGCTCTATGATAGTCAAGGAATCAGTTACCATTTATGTTCAATAACTTGATTCAGATCTTTGAGAAAAGAATGTTAATATAAACTCCATTAGACGATCTTATTAAAATGGTTTTCTTATTTTGATCTTTTCTATTCGTTTAATATCACACAAGTGTGCATGGGGAAAACAGTGGTTATACGTTTTATACTTACTATATACATACATCGATATTGTTTCTTGAAAAACTATAACTTATAACTATGATTTAAGATCTGTTTTTCCGTCTTGCAAAACAAATGATAATAGGTATCTCTCATTTGCACATTTAGTCTTTTCTTTTTCTACTTTGAGAACCAACCAAAACCAGTTACAAAAGACGTTTGAGAAGACCCTGGAATAAATCTTTAGTTTGACACAGAATTGTAACGTAATTACTACATGATTTTTTAACGCACAAACCATTAAGCTATTGGGAGCACTGGTCTAAATATACTTGTGTATACATTTGCAACAGGACACCTGTCTAAGAATTATTAAAGGCGGGCCACTATTGATAATTTCGCGCCAAACGCCACGAGTAAATATTTGCGCCTTTTCTTTGGACTGATCTATTTAAAAGGTGTGATAGCTTCAATGAAATTAAATAAATAAAACGTTCTTATCGCCTTTATTTTATTTCGACGTTAAGAAGGTATATTTAACACATTGTACACATTACATATTGTATCTAGCCCAGTTAAACTAAAGCAGTGAAACGGAAATTAAGTTTTAAGATTGACACGTAATTACAACGTTTTACTACGTGAAAGTCAAAGTAGATTTTTACATTTCATGTATCCTTATGACAGAATGGTGTAATCAAACGCTCAGCTGCCTCCATAAACCCCTACTCGCGAAATGGCGGAGATGACAGAGACAGACGCCATCTTGGACCCGCTTCAGATTTTCAAATATTAATATCTAGAGTTCAGATTAACCAATATTCGAACAACTTATATAGTAAGCATCAATGGAAGGGTCTCTATTAATATTCTAAAAATAAATGAAAAATATTGAAAAACAAAAAAGTTAGAAAATACGATTTTTTCAATTCGCTCCTCCTAACAACAGGAAGTATCGACAACGAACGAAAGGTCGCGTCTTGGATAGTATATATCACGATCTATAATCCCTGAAAGTTTCATGTTGATATCTTTTATCGTTTTTGAGTTTAATCGTGGACAAAATGTCATTTTAATTTCAGAAAATTGTCCGTAACTTAGCACCGGAAGTGAGTTTTCAAATTTTCTCTCGGATATAATAAATTCATATAACAACACATCTGTCCTAAAAAGTTCATGTAATTCCATCCAATAGTCTTTGAGAAATCGCGTGCACAAAATTAAAAAGTCAAAAAAATAAGAAAAATAATAATAAGAAACAATAGAATCACTATAAGGTCTTCCGTGAAGACGGAAGACCTTAATAAACTTCATGTGTCATTAAATGCTTGAAGATTACTATGATTTATGCCCCTGTAGTTGTTCTGTAGAGTTGTGTATGTTTTTAAGAGGCAGTCCACCGAAAAACCAGACAGCATTCCCCATTTTCAAAAGGTGAGTTATTTCCCCTGAAGGGAACTCTTTTACTGTGTTTAATACGCATGCGCTTTAAATAAAGTCACTTCCGCGGACGTTCTTGATGTAAACATGTTCATGGTGTAATGCCTCTATTATATGGAAAAATGTTATTGTGTTTGTGAATAAAAAGAAATCTTAACTGATTCTTACTTTTTTTAAATTGCTCACTCATAGTCTCTTTCTGGATTTGTATTTAAATCTGTATAGTAGTATAATAAGGCGCTGTGTGAGCCCCCCCCCCCCCTTACAAAAAAAAAAGAAAGAAACAAATTACTGATAAAATGCTGATACATATTCGAATAGGCCTATTTTTTTTTTTAAAAAGCAAAAGTTAATTTTCGGTAGTGGATATTCTGCAGACGGATCATCATTATTTACAAAATGTGCAGAACAAATATAAGAATTTTTAGTTATAAAGTTTTTACGAATTAATCTAGCCTGCTGCAGCCATATTTTCTTTGCAACTCTAGGAATTTTTTGGAGACTGATGACATGTCCATCAACAGTTTTACCTCTGAAATTGCTGCATATACAGCAGTAGTTCGTCTTCCGCGACCGATACCAAGAAACTGCGTTTTTGCTCGATTGTATGTCATAACATAGAACTTTTACTTACAGTAAGTAAAAGTTCTATGTTATGACATACAATCGAGCAAAACACATTTGGTAACAATTAAAGGCCTCTTTTGTTTGAATTAACCGTGTTTCCAGAATTTCTTATTTGCAAAATAATTGATTCACTGTATAGTATAAAAAATTTGAATGGAATTCTAAATGAATAATTTAATCTCACGTGCTCATGTAACGAAGAAAGACTAATTAAAAGAACATCGACCTGAATTCGTGTTACATTTGTCGTATAAAGTCTGAGCTGCATTTAATCAAAGTTTTAGTGTAGGATCTAAGCATAAGTACATGAATATTCCCGAGTAAAATACACATTTTGTTTTAGATCAGAGAATTGACAGCAGAAACACGAAATTGATACAATAATTTCCTAGCGTATTTCTCGTTAATTAACGGAAAACATTCTTTTCTCAAGTGTTATTTATCTTTTTAAAATCCTTTCAGTTTAAGTACATGTATTTATTTTTATAAGTTATTCTTTTTTGCAAAGTGTGTAAAAAAACAATATCAGAGTTAGAGAGGAAGAGGGGAGAGAGAGAGAGAGAAAACCCCGTGTAACTGACATGCATACATGTACATCTGTGAAAAAATATATGTACCGTAATTATATTGAATTCACATTTAATAATTCTAATAATTTTTAATTTCCACAACTTTGGTTCATATTCAACTGTTCAACCCATTTACACATTCGTTCTCTGTACCTATACGCACGAAACCCCCGTGCATCACCTCAGTGTCAATCAAGTTCGCATGAAAGTTGATTTCAAACATTCTTATAGTCAGTTCTGAGTTCAAGTGTGTAACACACTCAACTTACATCCAGCGAAATTCATCTTCCCGGTTTCACCACAATGCTTATTAAAAACTTACGTGTATTTTGTAAATTATCCTTTTTAAGACATAAATAAGATGTATCCCGTAGAATATACATGTAAGGTTTAAAGAAAAAATTACAATAACGTAACATAAAATTGCAAATATAGATCTGTTTAACAGCTAACAGGCACGTAGCAACAGGGGGGGGGGGGAGGGGGGTCAAGGGGCCTAGCCCACCCCCACTTTTTTCCCAACATTACTTTTTCTATTGAAAATGTCCATTGAAAGACAGGTTGCCACCGCCCCCCCCCCCCCCCCCACACACACACACAGTTTATACTACGGTAAAATTATATAAGGGAAATGTAGTATTGTATGCCAAGGAACTGGTACTGATATAAGTAGCTTTTCGACTTTGGGCAAGGTTTTTCTTTGCTTGTCAACTTTTCCAGGTAAGAAAAAAAATATTTGTTTGGCTCCCCCCTCCCACTTTTAAAGACGATGCTACGTGCCTGGCTAATTCGTAGAGCTTTCTAGGAAGGGGGGGGGGCTAACAGACCCTTTATAAAATAATTTATTATATAAAAGAAATGCAAACCGTTTCCTTCTTTTAAAATTTTTAAATACAGCGTGTAAGTTGATCACTATTTTGTTGGATTATCGTATTGCGTAGTCCGCGGAAGTTAGGCTAGTGTAGAAGAGTTCCGATTTTGAGGGGAGATAACTCACTTTTGAAAATGGGGATATTAATAGGCAGCACATCGAATGTGAGGAGTATTTAATATTTTATTAAAAACAATATCAATGTGGTCCAAAAGGAATAATGTAATTGAAGATTTGTTTGAAAATTGTTTATATAGTTAAATATCCCTGTGTTTTGTGTTTTTGAATTCCCCTATATAAACCATTGAATGTAGGTCAGAAACAAAGAACTGGAATTTACCAGGACTATAATTCACATTTAACTAAATCTAGAAATATTTCATCTTTTTGTTTCAAAAATAAAATCGGTGGGAAAAACACTTTTGATAGTAGTTTTCTGGCAAAATATATAGACGTTTTTGTGAAATTTTGTGATGCAAGAGTTATCTCCCGTGGCATCTGTAAATCTGCTAAACACCTTTTTATCGGAATCCTAGTGAAATATTTAGAATCGATACACTAAAGAAAATTATTAAACCAAATTATTTATTTTCAAAATATAATTCATTTTCGCCTTCAAACGTAATATTTAAATAAAAATTGGCTATATTATTCAGGATGAAATCACGTAAACTATAATTTGGCACTAAAACGGAAGATGGTTTAGTGAAATATGAAGTTTAAACATTTGACTATATTGGCCAATTCTAAAAGTTTCACGTACAATTTAGTCATGACCCCCCCCCCTGCTTTTTGCTTGCGATTTATGATCAGCTCTTAAATAATGATACTATGTCATTTATTTTCTTATAATTTATATATAAAATCAAAATTTGTAAAAGAGGAAAATATAGGTGAAAAGGCTTTACAGATGACCGGTAAAAAAAACTTGAATACAGTCGAGACTGTACATATATAAAATATTTTCTGTATTTAGCCAGGTTTAATTAATTTCGTCACAGATATAATTTAACTCTTTAATTCTTGAGAAAACAAAAAAAGAAATTCTACTTGGAAATAAGATAAAATCATGAAATCATACGAAGAAAGCTGTCTGCTCTCAGTTGTTGCATGATGCATACATGTACAAATACATTTTTTGAAATACCGAGTATCAAGAAATCAAACATGTTTATCTTCATGTACGTAAAAGACATTGGTAATTTAATCAATATAGGTATATTAAATCTATGGTTACTGTCAATTAAAAACAGAAAACTGATTGAAAAGAAATAAAAGAGAAGCATATTTTTTCTGATAAATTAGAATGAAGAACCAAATAGAGGAAATATTTCTAATTTTACGGTAAAACCGACCCCGATTGAAATAAAACCGATCCCGATCGAAAATAATTCAAAATTAATAAATTTATCAAACTAAAGGCACCTACCACCTATATAACATGTAATATGTAAAATGATAAATAAAGTAATTTTTAAACAACATTGCAACAAAAGAGCCAAATTTAACGAAACAATTATAGTATTTTCTTCTTTATATAATTCCGATCGGGATCGTTTTAATTAGAGAAAAATCAAAAATAATAGGTAAAATTTACTCCTTTTAATTTTCTCAATATACCTGTTCCCACCAATTTAATTAAATAACTCAAAGGTTTGTACTAGTTTGTATTCATAATAACATGAGGAAAAAATTCTGTCATAGCAATGTATTGGATTTTATAACGTATCGAAAATTGGATACAGAATTCAAAAAGTAACTTGTAATTTAACACAATTTTGGACCACATATTTTTTTTTCTAAAGAAATATAATTTGGAGTCTTATTCATTATAAAATAAAAGATAAGAGTCTATGCTATAAAAAATATTGATTGACACATCCAGCTTTTGAGTATTTGGTACATATAACACAAAATAAAAACGTAGTAATTTTTTTTACCTTCAAGTTGACCTTTTTGCACTTAAAATTAAGCATTTACAATAAAATAGGACTAGAGGACCACTAAAAATTTTTTTGATGTTGTCATTTGTAAACAATTACTATTTTAAGTCTACATGCAAAAAATAATTAAAATCCATGACATGTGATGTGCCACCCATTGCCTGGTTTTTCGGTGGACAACCTCTTAAGATATTTCCTGTAAAATTCTCTGTAAACACTCCACACTACCACATTATCTCGGGATCTGCCCTTCCCCTCAAGAAGAACGGACATCAAATACGACGATGTGTATCCTTTGGAATGCAACTTATGTTAATTCTAATCTGTTGTACATCTCATTAAGACAGCTATGGCGTTTCATACACTACCATAACAAGCTTGTATACCGGGATATGCTGTTCCAATATTCCAGGGTTGATCTAATAGTAATGGCAAAATAAATTAAAAGTGTTCGACAAAAAATATGATAGGGGTATTCGTACATGCACCGGTTAGTGTAATCTTGCAGAAAATTTTAATCAATAAAACAAAATTACGAAGTCTTTTGATCAACCAACAAACATATATTTCCACGTAAGGCTTCCAGTACCTCTAAAACAAACTTGCACTTTTTCTAATATAATTGACAAAAAGGGATCTTTAAGGTATAGGAACAAGACCTACATAATACATATACTTGTCAAGAGGATTTCATTATACACAGACATAGAAATCCTTTTCCCATTTATCTAGTCTTCTTTTTGACCCAAGTTTAATGTTAATCCTGGTCAAATATACCTGCAAATTATTTAATTATCAATAATATGACTACTATTTGCTATTACAATAATAATAATAATATGGTACATTGCCAGGCTTAACATCTTCGAGAAAAAAATGATCTAAAACCTTTAAAATTTGACGGAAATTCAAGGAAAAAAGAAACGAAGAAAAAAAAGTGCATAATATGAGTGACAAGAATTTATAGATGTATCTTTTGGATTTAAGGAAGTGGTAAGAAATGATCATATAGAAAACAAAGAAGTACACGTAAATAGGATGAAATGAAAAATTAATGGAATCCAGAAACTTAAAGAAATCGGTGAACTCATTGCTTTAATAAAGATAATTACATAATTGTTTATATCTTTTCCAAAGTTAAAAAGTAAAAACAACGCATTAAAGATAAAATAAAACAAATTCTCACCGAGGTTTCTTTCAGAGAATATAGTTGATCAAGTTTTGTACACGACAACCTACTTACATGTATTCATCTAACAAATCAAAAGAAGCTGTTATCATTTTTCCTGTCTCTGGATATACTACAGTGAGAATTAATTCTGGCGTTTTGAATCTCATGGAACATTTAACACAACGATACTTAGACGATGTTAAAGGAGTATGTACAGTGACTTTTCCTACATATATACAGCCCGGTTCATCAATATATAAAATGCCTGGGTTTTTTGATTTATAAATTCCGAAAGAAATCTCTGTTTGGTTTGGATAGATGGGTATGTAAGTCACCTGTGAAGAATGTGTTTCAGCAGAAAGTGAATCTCCACACCGAACAAGCTTAGTAAATATATCTCTGCAGTAGTCTACTCCACAGATAGTTTTTTTCTTCATGGGATTGTGGATGCTTGGATTGAATATTTGAAATGTGTCGACACCAAAAGTGTATCTAGATAACCTCCGATCCTTAATTGGTGTTTCTCCGGCCATTAAAACTGCTCCTTTAAGTGCAGCTAAGCTTGGTTCCTCTGCTACAACTATCCGGTATTTAGGGAAAGCGTCCTTCATCGCATTTTGCAAAATTGGAGACTCGGAAAATCCTCCAACCATAAAAATCGTGACAATTCCTGAAAGCTTTGAAGAAGTAAGTAGTGTTTTCACATATCTGATTGTTTCATGACAAGCATGCTGAAAGAAACTGTTAAAAGTTGCATGGTCAATAAATAACTTGCTACATTGCACTTTGATACGGTCTTTGTATCCTGCCTCATTGATTCTACTCTTTAAATCTTCTCCAATTGTATATTCATATACATGAATAATAGAATAGGGAAGATTAAGTGAAATACGTTTAACAGGTAATTCGTTAATCCTACTGCCAAATGTTCGTTTCTTTATCTCGAATTCACGTAAAAGATCCAAGTAGTCGTCAGAATATTCTGCATAGTATTTCTTTAATACTAAATCCCCAAAAATTTTTCTCAAAAATTCTTTAAAGGTGTTTTCTAAGGTTATTCCTCCAACACCATGAATACGTTTGACAAGTTCCATTATTTTTCCATTTGGTAAAACTTCGAATGCAGTTAATTCAAGTGTCATGCCTAAAGTAAGAAAATAGTGTTTAATCAGAGATGGCATTGTCTGGTTCATCAATCTTTCAGTTGGGAAATTATCTCTCATAGAATTTATACTAAATATTAAAATTATTTAATAAATATGTTAACATATGCTTTTATCATTGTATGACCATTTTTTAAAGTATTCTTTTAAAAATATATCAGAGATTTTTTTTTTAAATTAAATTATTATATTTTTATTGTACAGAAATGCTGGAAAATTTAAGGGCATATGAGAGCACATAATAAAAAGAGACACCAGAATGAACTAAAAGTCTGTTCTAGTTACATATATATAGATAAACTGTGTATTATTTTTAAATCATGGATAATGAAAATAAAGGATAGGTTGGTACACAAGCGATGGCATGTAAAAGATAATGTAGGTATTATCTGCAAGAATCATATCTACGAATCAATAATACAGTTGTTAATCATAAATGTCCAGTCAAGCAGATAATTCGCTTTACTGATCACTGGAAAGCAGTTGACAAAAAAAAATCTGAATTGCCGATTGCTCTCTATTTATACAGAAATCGTATGCAACTTGATTTTAATTTTTGTCTCAAACGAGTGAAAACAAACTCTTTCTCTTCCTTTTTCTTTCTCACTCTCTCGATCCCTCTCGCACTCTCTCTGTGTGTATGTCAGTGTATATGAGGTGTGTTGGTATTTGTCTTTTCTAAGTATACCACCAGCGTCTAGAAGTAAGTATTTGCTGCCAGAATAAAAGAAAGGATCTTTTTCTTCTTCATCTGGAAGTTTACGCTTAGGTAGAATGCTACAGAAGTAAATCGACGCTGCATCAGACTTCAATTCAATCTTTGTATTGTTCTGACATATGCCGGCCTATGACATAAAAAAAAATTAAAATAAAAAAAAATATTTAAGCTTTGCTTTGAAAGCTTTTAATTTATTGTAAACCACTTACTTTTTCTGCCGCCATCCTAAAGAGATGTATTGCTGCATCATTCAAGTGCGACGGGACAATAAACACCCAGGCTATATCACCAAAAGATGCACGTTCTAGGTTCATCGCATTTAAGCAGTGCGTGTAAAGGTATTTTATTGCTATAGAGAGTACATCCACAGTTGGCATTTGTTTGCCCATATCATCTGTTATTACTTCCTTTATGACAAATGAAAAATGTTTATTTGTTAATGCAAACATCTCTGAATAAAAACTTTTCTCTTTGCTGGTAGAACTAACTTTCTATCATTAAAAGCAGGATTTTAAAGAGGTAAATAGACTGTTATCAAAGAAGCATGCATACATGTGCTGTATAGATGTCATGAAACTTCGATAAGAATCTAGGGAAATAATAGTAATCAAAGTGTTCCTTTTCATCTCGAAGCTCCATGTATTTAGCTTCTGCTTCATAACCGAATGCAACAAACATCTTGTCTTTGTCCAGTAAGAGCGTAGATGGGACTTTGGATGTTTTCAGACCCTTTTCAGTACACCAAAACGATGTCATTGATTGTAAAGGATCGCGATTTAAATCGTTCGTGGAGATGAAGGCATAACCAGAAAACGAATTTCCCATTTCTATTGAAGCTACAAATTGTGTCCTGTCCTTGATTATACTACTACAGGAAGAACAGGCAGGAGGTACTAAAACCAAAAACAATATTTATATCTTTATGAATTTAAAAGTATTATCATTTTTTTTATTTTCCTTTCGGTTGAAATGCATTGGTCTTATTGTATTATAATACATCAACGTCTTATACACTAGTACTTAAAACAACAATTATTGACCAGAGAGAGAGAGAGAGAGAGTGAGAGAGAGAGAGAGAGTGAGGGAGAGAGAGAGAGAGAGAGATTTTTTATTTTCTTTGTAAAAAGGTAACCATTCAAATACATGATAAAATTCAAATTACTTGGCTGATTTTCTTTGGTCTGTTTTATCTGTTGTTTCCGTCGCTGTTCTGTAAAAGTGATATATGACAAGAATTAAAATAACTATATTAAGTACTAATGTATTGCGATTTCTTTTTTTTTCAAGCCATTAATAATCTAAAATGTATGTGTAAGGCTTTCATAAGAATTGAATATATTTCTGCCTTTCCTTTTTTGCAATCGTTTTCGTTAAAGAAATATTTGCAATAAGCTTACTTTCATCAGGGTCATCCATTTTCTCGTATTTATCAAAGCAATTTTGCTGAAAGAGAAGTGCTCCCTCCATGACTGCCAGTTCTGCATTGTTTGGAATAATAACCGTCAATTCTGGGAAAGCATTCTTTATGACATCTTGTAAAATGAAGTTGTCTGAAAATCCCCCGACCATCAAGATTGTATTGACTTCTTTTAAGTAAGTTTGGTTTAACATTTCTTGCATTTGTTGCATTATGTCTTCACAAATCGGTTCAAAAAGACGCTTAAATGCTGAATAATTAATGTAGAGTTTTCCTTTTCCCCAGAAAACTGTATCTCTATGTTTTGTATTGTTTGTGAGTAAGTTTAAATCCGTACTCAATCGAAATCTACACTCTTCTGCAAATGAAACTGGTATTTTGAGAGTTATTTTTTGATTTGTTGGAAATTCACGAGTGAATAATCTTTTCCTGACTTCGAAGTTCCTGAATATGTTTGCATATTCTTTTGGGTGTTTTTGTTTGTATTGTTCAACAAAATCTTCCCCCACTATATCTGTCAAAATCTTTTCAAAAGCTTGATCAACGCCAATACTCCCAGACTGCAAACTCTCAACTATGTCTACTTTTGTTAATTTACCATTGCTCGTATGCTGACATAAGGTGATGTCGACACTTCCTCCTGAAATGAATGAAGTTTAAACTCTCATGTGGTTGTACAATGTACGTAGAATAAAAGATTTATACGATGGTATACATTTCTAATTACACATCTACTTAATATATTTTGATATTTTAATTGAAAAGTTAGAATCTGCTTTCAAAAGTCAAAAAAGATTTTTTTATTGGTCAGTTATATATATATACACATGACTCTAAAAAATCAGAACAAAGAATGGGAGGTCAAAAAGGTTCCATTAGCACTAGGGTTTATTTTATAAAATCTGTTTGCACTGATATTGTATAGAGGTCAAGTGTCATGAAAATAAAAAAAGGTTGATATATTGTCAATGCCATATATTAAATGATAAGATTTTAAAGTTTCCATTTTTTAATGACACCTACATGCTTGATTTACCTGTTTGAAAACAGACAATTTCTATTATCCCCGACGATGTTTCCTCCCCTGTTTATGACGTCATTAGAGACATAAATATCAAAACAATAGGCTCACCATACTATAACGCCCCGAGTCCATTTGACATGGCTCAATTCACGTTAGGTAATGACAGTGACGGCGAAATACCCGAAGTTGATTTGACACTGCATATACAGCCATACATGTTTAAACCTTTGGGTAGAGATCGTTTTACTAACAGTTTGTCAGAGAGTGATCATGAATCGCACTCGGAATCGGGAAGGGAATCACCGACAAGCTCTGAAGACGTCACTAGAGAACCTGTCAAGAGTTGGTATGTAGGTAAGGCCTAATTAATCTATTGTGTTTTTACATATATATTACGTTTAGCCACAAAAATAAAATGGCATGCATCAGTCTCCCTGGCGTATATATTTATTTTAGGAAAAATCTTAAGGTTTTTCTCCTTGTTCAAAATATGTAGAACTGATATCAGTAGTGGCGTCTTCTTATGACTTATGAGTGAAAAATTCTAGAGAGGGGTGTTAAATAACATAAAATAAATCAATTAATACTGGAATTTTAAAGTTACGTCTCCTTTTTTATTCATTTCTTTGCTAGTCAGATTTGTTTGCATGAACGTTCTATGATACAGTGTTTAACAATTTTTAACCAAACTCAAATTCGAGATTTATTATGCCCTCTCTTTAGGTGTAATTGTGGAAAATGTGTGGAAATGTCGACTAACAGGGAAAAACAAATGCTGCCGAAACACCAACAAAGTAAATGGAAAGATCGATGAGAAATCTCTCCAATGTATAACTGAGCATGAAGGTTTCATCGTAAATTGTTTAAATCATTATGCATTGGAGACTTCTTACTATGAATACATACATGATAATGGCAGACAAAATGAGAGAGAACCCGTCCATGAGTAAGTTTCATAGGCAGGTCAAGGGAGGGAGGTCTTCCTACCCAAGGAAATTTCAGCATTGTTGAAAACAGGGTTTCCCAAAGACCCAGGGGCCGGGGAATTTCCCTGCATATAATGACGTAATCCCCCAGTTACCCTGTAATCCAGTCTTAAACCCCTGTTAGCGGAAGAACCTACACCTTCTATTAAATTATTTTTAAATGTTCACTGCTAGCTATTTCAATTAATAGGGACAAACCTGTTGAAATATCAAAACATGAATTTAATTTTACACTTTACAATTCACAGAATAATGACAATTAAAAAAAGAGGTACACCCAGTCTCATGGAAAGTCCACTTTTCCTCACAATTTTGTCTTTCCTGTTCAGGCATCGTTTTCCTTTTCTTCCAAGTGATATGGCCACCTCTCACCTTTTCACTATCAAAATCTTTAGTACAAAGTACATGTAATAAATGATTAGGCGAATATTAAAAAAAGTGTTTGTTTGCCCTTTACCAACCCAGATTTTTTTTACATTGGGTAGGTAGGTAAGAGAAATATTTAATTTTCTCTTCTTAAAATTATAACAAGCACGAAGGTCACAATGCTTGACTGTGTCATTTTCCTATTGCTGCTCATCAAAAGGTTGTTTAGAAAAAAATTCCTTCTAAATTCCTTTGAAGGAATGTGTGTCCAAACGTCATGTAAAATTTAATCCCCAGTTTTAACCCCAAGCTAACCCCAGTGACCCTCTTTGAAGAAACTTGAATCCTCAGAATGTGTCGATTTCACATCCTATATTCTCACCAATGTCTAAGGCGGTAAGGGCTGCATGCACTAAATAAACAAAAAAGGTAGACCATTATATTTATAATTAACACTAGTCACTACTACATTAAGCATCTAAATGACCTCAACGAACTTTTTAAAATTGGGTTGAAATGACTCAATTAAAACAATTGTAAATGAAAAAAGCAATAAAATATTTTGAGTCGGGCTAATTTCGATAGGTCGGTCGGCTAAGGGCAAACAAACAATATTTTAATTTAGGCCTAAATAAGTGCACATATAGGATTATGTTGAGCATATCCTCTGCAATGTTTCAGACTTTACAGATATCTTGCCTACAGAAGATTTGTTCGGTGGGTTTATCATATTCTTGGGAAGAAGAATAGACGTATTCTTCCAGCCTTTTTTATGTATATTTGCATCCACAATTGTAGCAAGATGTAAATAATTGATCTAAACAGGAATCAAAAACTGTAAACTTTCTTTCCTTAGCAGGGTTATTGTCTTGTTCAGTATCCTGCTCCTCATTGTCACTTTCCGGAACCCAGTCTGAGTCTATGTCATAGTCATCCCCTTCATCTGTGGATGTCAGGAAGCTGTTGTCAAGATATTCAGCAACATGGTTGCAACTCTCTTCAGTCTGAGTTCCTGTAGAAATTTTTTCCACATCAGGAAGAGATAAAATGTTTATTTCTGTTTGTAGTTTTACCGGGCGTCGCTTCTAAAATAAACCCAAAGAATCAAATTAATGGATAGGGGAAGTGCAACAAACATTTGATCTTGTACAGTATATCAATCATGTCATCATGATATATATTCTTATTAATAGGTTTACTGGTTATATTGATATTAAGATATTGGTATGAATATAATGAAAAATTCAATAAATATGAGTATATGTTATATAACATGCACATCATAAGAAATGTCGAAAACTCAAATTATAATTTTTTACCCCTTTAGATCCAGACCTCCCCTTTCCTAAAGAATAAAAGGAGCAGCCATAAATATTTAAGTAAACTTACAACTACATCGTATGTTGTCTTGGACATTGTGGAATAGCACTGAACATGCTGAACATTTGTTTCTTTAAAATTTGCTGGACAGACTGTGTCACCTGATCTTTGATCATCTTGTGCTTGTGGGAATTCATCATTGTCAATATGACTGGCATCTAAAATCTGCAATGCATCAATGCTCATCTATATTAAGCAAGCAATTGAATAATATATAAATATACACTTATGCATTATACAGTGGCAGATCCAAGAATCTTGAAAAAAAGGGGGGACCAGTTTGGGGTTAGGTAGATAGAATGTTCTATCGTTAAAATGATAAATGTCCTAAGGACCCGGTTTAACATGATACTTTAAGGGGTATATGGTCACACCAAAAAAAATTTAATTAAATCATATATATTTTGGACACAAGGGGGGGGGGGGGGGTCTGAACCTCCATTTACATCCCCCGCCCCTCTAAATCCGCCAGTGCATTATACATGTTACATGTTATATCATACGTGTTAAAATACACGTTGCCTTGTTTATATACACATAGATATTCGTGATATGATTCGCCACTTTTGTGTTAAAAATACATTCGTGATCAAAATAAATGACTAGGAATGCATATGCCTAAATAAAAAAAATTACTACTGACCACTGTTAACACTTTGTTAATCAGTTCCGAAAAAACATTGTTACTATGTTTACGTTTTGAAGATGAGATGTGCATATGTTGTTCGAATTTCCTCTACTTGTTTTTATCAATATTTGATGTCACCCTAAATAACCAGATTTCTATATTGCAAGTTATTAAAATGTTTTAAAAAGTGGTTTTCAAAATTATTTTCTTACGTTATAGCGTCTTCTTTTGGTGATTTTCGCAAGGGCTTTTGACTTGAAACGACCAACCATGCTAACATCTGGCCTGTCGATTTCATGTTCCTGAGACGTGGGGCTAGCTGATCTTTTAACTGATATTCTTTTTTTCTTGGGATCCGTGTAATCGAATAGAGATGGCATAGCTCCTGATTTCAAGATCTTGTTTTTTAACTGAAACTCTATGTTGTTCGAGAATTGATCGTTGTCAAAATGTCATTCACGAAGTTTACTGTATTAAGTAGGATGAAAACCGTCTCTTCTCAATTTGAGAGTCCAAATTTTTATAAATTTTGGATCTTTCGGAAACAAATACAGGCTTATTCCCTGGCCAGATTTTATCATGCAGTTTAGTGCAGCACATTGCACCATATTTTCACAAAATTAACAAGAATTTAACTCTTACGCATTACCTTCTTCTTCTGCGTCTCTTGGGCGAGTGTCTCTAATGACGTCATCTTCTCGAAGGGAGATAACTTGGTTGTAAAGAGATGGTTTACGGTGCAGGTGGATATTTAATACCAGTTTAAATGGTTTATTGCTTTTAATAAGCAAATTATATCCAGCATTTTATTTTGATAATATTTGCAAAGTGTCTAAACCAGAAAAACTTAGATTTTCATATATCTTTCTACTTGACCTTTAATGAAAGGAAATAACATGTATGAACATCTAGAGACCTAAAAAGTCTCAAAATGACTCATATAAAGCATTTCATTAAAAAATCCAGTGTCAAAAATTTTTGGCGGTGTGATGATGTTGTTAAAGATAATAAATTATCTGAAAGAAAATTTCACTGAAAACTGCGTAGTTTGAAAAATAAAATACTGAAAAATGCACAAATTAAACACTACAGCTGACATAATTGAAAATAATATAAAGGAGACGATAACTGCATGCAGTTTGAATGGTCTAATACGTTTAAATTTATTGCAACAATGCCTTTTTTCAAAACTATTCAGGGTCAGATTTGTTCAACATAATATGTCAAGTTGAGGTACTTGACGTTTTGAATTGAATATTTTTTGAATTTCTTCAGAAAAATGCACGTGTTTGAGAATGTATTGTTCAGTAGTCATCAAACTCGTACATAGTACAAATTAAAAAAAAAAACTCTTTTACAATTTACTTACAAGTAGTCTATGATTTTTTCTATAAGTATGTTATAAGTGCCTGGGAATCTCGTAAGTAAAACCGTTAATCTTTGGCTGTTAGCGAGAAGAAATTCAAGCTGACTAACTATAAAGTTCTTTATTTTCAAAATGTCAGGTTATTCTTGCTGACAGAATTCGTTGTATCATTCGTTAAACTATTATGTAAGCAAATTCCTAATTTTTGTAGAGCTACAAATCAACAAAAACTTTTTTTGAATAATTTAAGCTAAATTACAATGATTCGTCATTGAAAAATGCTTGCTTTTAAGATTACATTTTTTTATGAAATAAACCTATCTTTTATATAATTTTGGAGAAAATAGAACTTTGATGTATAACTGGTTGTCATAATAATTTTGATATTTTTTGTATTTTCTTAAAGACGCATTTTGAATTTATAACGAAAAATGCCCACCCCACTGTCTCCATTATTTAAATTTCTCACGGTCTTTTGTCAGCAAGGCAGAATACTGTATAAAATAATGTAACACTTTTTATGACATTCAGTGAAGTCCATTAAGTTAATGTCATTTATAATTTAAATTCAATAGAAATCATTGACTATGGATTGTTTTGTATAGCTCTTAAGTTTAGCGGAAATTAAAAAAAAATACTGAATACAGGGTTATTTTCGCCGCCCGTTTTATTTTCGCCCTTTCACCCTTGCAAACAATTTTGGCCTGTTTAAGATTCGTCCAGTCACAGTTTTGTTTAAAACATTATATTGTATTCTTTGAATTCGCCACTTTTAAATTCGCCCACTGGAGGTAAAGCGAAAAGGACAAAAATAAAATGGGGGCGAACATTTCCAAGTATACAGTATATTGCTCACCTTATCATTAATATTATAGAAATCAAAATTAAACACAATTAAACATTTCAAATTTGGTACTACCTGTGTCAAGAGCAATGTATTTACAGGCGTTTTGATCATTGCTTCTTTGTTCTTTATTGAAGTGCTTGTACCACAACATGGCCGCCTCTGGCTCGGAAACAAGGGTAAGCTGATCTATTGGTATTCCAGCCTAAGAATAAAAAAAAAACAGAAATGAATAATGACGCTATTTAACAAGAACATTTACTTAGTGTGAATTGACGTGTGGTCAATATTTCTGTCTGTCTGTTTGTCCGAAAAAATGCATAACCTTATCCATAACTTTTTACAGTGGATCAATCTTTGGCTTTCATATTTCACATGTGTATTCCATGCGACAAGATATTATAAAGGTTACACCAATTTTGACCGTTTGGCCTTCATCTTGAAGTTTGACCTACTTTTACAATGAAATACAACACACCTAAAAGATCAGTGTTTTACGAACATCTTGTTCTAAAATTGCATGTACAATAGATGGGTTTTCATTTCTTTCTGACGAATTGTAATTTTTTGTATTTTGAGTAATCTTCATCATTTAAACTGTAAGTAGGGAAAAACTTACTTCAACCGCCGCTTTTTCTATTAAAAGTTTTTTAGCATCACTCCAAATCTTGGGAATCATCAATATCCATGCTATATCATCCTTTCTGCAAAATGTTCTTCTTTTCTCCAAAGTGTTAATAAAATGATCTTTGAAATATCTTACTGCATTTGAAAAGACCAAGACAGCTGATAATTTTTTCCCTGTAACATCAGCTATTTCTTGTCTGGTCATTTGCTAAAATAAAATTTGAATTACATGTGCTAAAGAACTTTTCAAAATTAAAAAAAAGACTGAAAATTAAAAAAGGAAAGCAATACAGCAATAAAAGGTGCATTCAAAAAGTATTGAAAATCAGGCTCAGTTAGTAATATGTATATATATGTTGGTAATCACTGGTTTGAAACAATCAAGTTGCTTTGACACTTTAATCATTTAAGTTCTTAGTCCTATTGAATTCTTTGCCTCAATAAAAAAAAACCTTGAAAATGGTTATCAGTGAAAAAAACATGTTTAAACCCAGTTAGAATACCTTTTCTTTGGCAATGTCGTTGAACAGCATCTTAAATCTGCAAAAGTAGTAAAAATTCAAGTGCTGTCCATCCTCTGCAAGATCACAATACCTTTTCTCTGCATCAAATCCAAATGCAACAAAATTTCTATCCTCGTCTAACAGAATGTTGCTTGGCGTCTTATATGAAATAAATTCCCTACTTAGACCATCCCAGGTAGAAAATTGTATTTCAACTGGCTCTTGTTTTAGTTGATCATGTGTGGCAAAAGCGTAGCCAGAAAAAATGTTGCCAATGTCTATTGCTACTTCCATCTTGCCTTCACCTATTTAACATAAAAAGAAAATTATTCGGGAGCATGGGTGAGATGATATCTAATAGTGACAGAAGGAATCAATTACATGCATGTTTATGAAACTATAAAACGCAGTTAGAAGAAATGTATTATGCTTTTAATATTTTTCTGGTGTAAATATTTTTGTTTTGGTATAAAGGAACAAGAATTAAACTTATATTCATGTATGAAGGCAAAATAATATTTCTCACGTAAAAAGCAAAGATATCTTTAAAAAATAATGTACATTGATTTTGAATAATCACACTCCATAAAACCAACATTTTTCATTATTTAGTTCCACTTTAATTTTCAATCTGCTTGGTATTTCGTCATCTGCTTTTGCTAAGTTTTCTATCACACTTGTGAATATTTGTGGAAGGGCACACTTTTGTTCCGATTCTGCAAATGTTGATTTCGAGCGAAACTTAACTACCAGGGCTAAAATTTCAAGATTTGGCTTTAGAGTGTCTGCAGTGCAAGGTATTTCGCTATTTGTATTAGTGCTCACATGAATAACAGTTCAATAAATTCTTACTTTATTTATGATCACAAGCATTGATAACAATAGAGGTAAAAATACTACAGATAATTTTCTTCTTTTTGAATACGGAAAAAAGAAATGTACGTCGTTAAATTAAACTGCTTTTTCAGAAGGTCTGATACTTGTAAGTAGGTAATTTCATACGTTATTTTTAATAACTACAGTACTATAAAACTATTCTAAGTGTTTACTTACAAGTCTCTTTCTGATTCTGCTGGTTCTGCATAAGTTTTGTGTCAATAACGATTCCAATTCTCATAAGGTTAACTTCTGATTTTAGATAAGTAAACAACAATAAACGTTTCATTACAGTCAAAATAACCCCGTCTTCCGCCACTAACTCGGTATATTTTACGCCAGTTTTAGTTTTTAAAATAAAGTGAATGGAGTTCCCTGCATCTTGAATGCCTTGCATTTCATAGTGACCCAATTTTGCAAGCTGAACATTAATCTCTCTTTCTTTTTCATCAACAGTTTCTGTGAGCATACTTGCAAATGAAGAAAATGCTGTTTCCTTTGGATGGATGATATTACCTTTTGCCATAACCCATATATTCTCGTTTACTAAAAAAATCAAGTGTTAATATTATTCAGAATTAAAGTAACACAACAATCTTGAATGCTGTGTTTTGAGATTCAAAATGAGATTTTCATAAATCATGTTTTTCTTGAACCGATATTCGTCAGAATTTTACATTATTTGTGCATTTGCTTTCAAGCTATCAAATTGCACTTCCTGGGTACACTGTACGGTAATATCAAATTCCTATAATGTTACCCAAGAGCATATATTGCATCACAAGTAATTTTAAGATAATTAGATATGCTGTAAAAGACATTGATTCCTTGAAAGGATATTCAATTTTTTCAAATGACCTTCAGTTGTTAAACCGTAAATGGATAGGTTATGAAATAAATCCGTCAGAAGAACGTCAACATCACATGTAGATTCCCCAAAACGCCACGTCAGATGAGAATGGGAATGGAATTTTGCTGCTTTGTACAATTTATCTGCTTCTTCGGTCTCTGCAATGGAAGGAATATACAATGTAATCAAATATGCATGCATGTCCATCTTATACTTACATTACATTACAATCCGGGCACGAAAAAAAAAATCATAGACGAATGAACAGACAGAGGGACATGAACCTTATAACAAAATACTTTCTGTCTATAGATAGATCTGAAGATTGGTGCAAGAAATAAATACTCACGTAACGCACGGACTTGTCTACTAAATTCAAGACAATACTCTTTGAGATTGTAGATATACCCATGAACTCTCACTTCATCGACACCTTGATTTTCTAATATTTGTGTTATTTCGTGTCTTCCAAATATACACTGAAATATCCATTCAATGTTCTTCTCCAGTGTATAATTGTTTTCGATGAAAAACATCATCACTAGATTCCCTGGCTTGATTTCTATTATGGTTATGTTGTTGTCTTTTATAACAGGATCTTTGTTGATTTCCTCAATCTTCAAGTTACTTGCACTTTCTGCCAAGTCTTGAAATGCAGGATCGTCTGATCGAAGAACAACTTTCACTGAAATAAGAATTTTTCTTTTTTTTTTAAATTATTACACAATGAAAAGTTTCCGGAAGCAGTTATTATTTACACGTTTATACATATACATATTATTTGTTTATCTGCATAATGGTTATTATATGATTGGTACATGTCTATTAATGTCAAGAAAGAGTGTATACTACATTTCGTATTCGCATTATTTCATGAACAAGGAGGAACTTTATCTTGAACTTAATGATATTTAGTATCAAGTCTTGAAATTGCAACGAAAGATACTCACAATATCCTGACGAAGTACATTCAAATACTTTGCGTTCGTCTAGTAAGTGACACAGTATGACCTTATTGTTCTTTCCTTTTATATCAAAAGTTACTGGCCCCCTGAACGACGATCCACAATTAATTTCCATTGAATTGTCTTCTCCAACTTGAATTGCAGCTACTAGAGGACAATCTTTAAAAATGGAAAAGAGATACATGTATAATCTAGATTCCCTGGAACTCACAGTTGTTCTTTCATTCCAATTATTGTTTTCCAATTCGAGTTTAAAATTCAATAATTATTACACAACACTAATCGATACCCCCCAAAATATCAAATTAAACAATGAAATAGTTAACAAAACCTTAACTCTTTTATTTGCATTTTTTACAAGTAACTCAATTAGAAATGGTTTTGATAGTTGATGTTAAGACGTATTATCAATGATGTGTACTCTCTTTATCTTTGACATTACCAAAATTGTTTACTCTGGCTGAAGCAATTTCTTTTTTAAATTTAAGTCCAATGTCCTGAAATCTTGGGCGAATGCTCATTCTATTCGCAATTTCCATCAGGACGGATAGAAGTATATTGCTGTCGTTATCAGATATCCTTTCATCTAGGCTATTTTCTATTTTATCTTGCCAAATCTTCAATAATCGTAATATGTCATCAGCCATTCCGATACATCTATCTGGAATTTTTTCTGTAGAATTCCATCCAATAGTAGGTGAACCAAAAAAGCAATCACAAACGCCTGACCTAAATATATCGCACAGAACTGTGAATTTCAATCATTCAGTTCTCTGAAGGACTTTCTAGAAGAATCCGAGACCTTGTCAAATGATATCTTTGATCGAAGGTCTTCAAATCTTTTGAACTTAAGCTGAAGAATATTACGTAAAAGTTTTTTGCATGGTGTATTGAGACATGTTCTCAGTGCTTCAAATCTCTCTTCATCACTTTTATACTCGTCTTCACTCATTATGTTTGTCTTATTTCAGCTGCTCTAGAAACAGAACCAAATCTTTTCTATTCTTCTTTGCTTGGCAAAATCACTTCACTGATTCTAAAATTCTAATGACCTGGTAAATATTAAAATAAAAAGAAATGTACAAATAATGCATACATAATACCCATAACACTGTGCCGGATAATCATGCCACTTCAAAAGTGGCATTTTGGCGCCCGCAAATTCTCATTTCACATAAAAACCATGTATACCAAGTAGTAGACCATCACTCATAGAGTTCATAACTACCTTTGTTACAGGTAAATCTCACCTGTCAGGTGAGATAATCACCTTTGAACAAAAAATTCCCATGGGAAAAATAAAGTTCCTATAGGAAAAATAAAATTCCTGAGGGATATTATCAAAATTCTGCAGGATTTCTTAATTTCCTGTGGGATATTTAAGAAATCCTACAGGAAATTAAATTACTATGGGAGAATTTAATCTCCTTTAGGAATACAATTTCCTATAGGAGAGACAAAAAATCCCTTAGGAAAAATGTATCCAATAGGATTTCTTAAATTGCTGTAGGATTCTCTTTTTCGGTCAGAAATTCCTGTAGGAATTTTTTTTTCATTTTTGAATTATTTACTTGCTCCTAAGGGAGAAATATATCCTGTAGGAAATTTTAAATTCCTATAGGATTTCTTCTTCTCCTATATGAATTTGATTCAACTGCATTTAGCTACAGCTAAAAATCAGCAGTATACCTAATATTGTGTCAACATGGTCCAAAGAAAGAATCACTTTGAAAAAAATATAGATTGAAACACACATTTACAGATGAATATTGATAAATTATAACATTTTGCAGCTGGTCAATTATTAATTCACATCCGATGAAAACAAATACCTATCATAACAGTCAAATTCTAAAAAGAACCCCAGAAAGTTTTATAATGTTTCCCTAGCTACAATGTATTCAGTTTTTAATGCCTATATGTATTTAATATATCAGTAATGAACAATTTCCAAGATTTTTTTTTTATTTTTGCAATGTTTTCAAATTATGTCTTCAATATTTCCAAAAATATGATAATCTATAATCCACAGTGGCAAGACTTGCTTGTATATTTTTCATAAAACACATGTTTAACAAATATGATTTCAATTTGATCAAAATATTTCAATTGTATCATTGTACAACATATAATCATATCCATATTCAATATGACACATAGCAGGTTAAGTGCAGTCCCTGGGAAAACCTCTGGTTTCTGCTCTAAAAATAATAAATCAATGCAACAAGAGGTTGAACGGTCTTAAAGCTAACCTGTGCCAATTTGGTTCCCTGGTTCTTCATCAATTGCGACTCCTTTTTCACTTCTTGGAGGTATGTTGTACTACATGGGTTGGTAAAAAAGGTTTTGATCCCCTTGTTAAAATCAAATAGAAGTAAAATGCTTTTCTGTAGAGCATTGTTTATCATTCCAGCACAATACATCTCCTCTGTATACACACGCGCGCATTTTAACTTCAAACTTCTACCTGGATGTGTTTTTTTATTTGCCCACAACCCCCTTACTTACCCTCTTTAATCACGTTGTTATGACCCTTTCTTGTTGTTCATTACTCTTGCACTTTGATCGGAGAATATAAAAACGTTTAAAAGTTTTTTGTCTTACGTTCTATGAGATTTATCACCCCCCCCCCCTCCACCCGATTTATTTCTGTACAGTCAGTAACACAAAGAAAATAAAATATAATAACATGAAGTTCTTGACTTTTAAGTACTCTTAGTTCAATGTAGTTATTTACTTCTATCTATCAAAGGTTTTTAAATAAAAACAAGTTCAAAGAAAATTTAACAAATTTTCATTGGATATGTGAATATCATCAAAGTGTGAATTAGTGATTTCTTTCTCTTTGACTTAGGAAATGAAATCAATTAATCAAGCAATCGATGGAGTGATTGTGTTTAAACATGTGAATATTGCTAATGATAAAAAAACGTTGCTTAATCCTTTCACATTCACACAGTTTTAGCTGAATATAAAGGCTGAAATGACATTGTCTAAACATGCTTCATAAAGAAATAAAAAAAAACAACATGCCTATAGTTACAACTATAATATAGGAAAACATTTGCCTTCTTTATTGATATTGTTGAAATGATTAATATGCAAAACTAACCTGGTACAAAAAAGCTTCAACATTCACGTTTTCAAAAGTAATATATTCTTTTTATGTATACATTTTTTAAAAAGTAGACACTTTTTAAATAAATGTTGATAATGAAGTGGTCCATAACATCTAGACTGTTTTACAATAACCAGGAAATTTGTAGAAAATGCATGTGACAGTGTCTGAGATTTTTCTCGAGTAGGAGATACCAGTCACCATTCATTAAAACACAAAAAAATTATTTACATTTCATAATTTATAATTATAATTCAATACAACAATCTCAGAATTAAAATGCTGGCTGATTTATCGAAATTTTTGAAGCCAAATTTCAGAAAAAAGGCTTACCGTTAAGATTTGCAATGCAGCGCTTACATGTAATGTCATAAATTATGACATTGATAGTTGACATTCTCAGCCGCTAAAATTGATATAAATCTTCAATTTAAAGTCGATTTAGCACTAACAGTGTACAGTTATTGACTGGGATAAATGGAAACAGTCGACCCAGCAACAGCTTGCACTCTGGTCCCAGACTCCTGTCAACATCTGTTTTGTTATACTTCTAATAAATCAATTTGTTGTATTCCTAATAAATCAATATCAGAAATTTAACAGAAAACAACACCGTTTTGGAGAAAGAGCTAGAAGACTTAACGTGTATTAATCAACAATCATGAAGGATATTGCATGAAGGTTTTACAAAGGTTTGAACAAATATTACATGTCAAGCAAGAATCCTAATAGAGGCAATAAGCGAGAATATGTAGTAGATTAAAATCTACACTTTACACTTTAATTCAAAAACAAATTTTGAACAATTCTACACATTTTCATTATGAATTGTAACGTATATCCATGAAATTTAATCATTTTGTTGAATTAATAATAGGGATACTGAGGTCCATGTCTTGAAGATTTCCACACATTGCATTGGGGAGAGCAACTTATTAGTCTTAACACTATATTACTCACCAATACCTGAAAGTGCATGCGATAGTTCTGTGCACATGGCTGTGGAGGCAGAAAATATGTCTGGACATTAGTAATAGACTGCATAATTTACATACTTACATATAGTGACAGGTGCTCATTAACTTCTTTGCTAGGGCAGTGGACAAACTACGCTTTTTGGTTTCAGTCAGCTTGGTTGGATAAAGTTTTCAGTACTTTCTGACCTATGCTTTGATATGCCAATAATTAATATGCCGTGACTCATTATCACTCTGATCCACCATTTTGATAAAGATAGCCCTAATACAGTGATTTGAATACAGATTCGAGAGATCTGCGCAGCTTACCTATCTTACCTACTGCATTATACTTCCTTTAGTATACCTGAATTAACTGAAGTTTTCCAAATGAGGAAAATAAAACTCAATTGAGTACATTTTGACGTCAGCGGGCCGAAGTTTTTTTTTTAAAAGTTCCTGGACCGACTGTTGGGGAAAACAGAGGAACTGTTAGGCTAATCGAAGAATTTATAGATAGGGAAACTTTTTAGTGCGGGTATGATAATTGAAAATGTAAATTAATACAATAATTTATGGCAATAAGCGTTGCAATTGGAACGCTTAATGATATAATTTCTGTCATTAACGGTGCTAATCAATATCATAAACAAAAGGTACCTTTCCATGGTGTGAGTGTACCTATATTTATGAGGGAATTAACTGCATAGAAACCATTAATAATTCATTATTTTTTCCCGCACATTCTCGACCGGAAATGTGCTTGTAACGTAAGATTCGTCATGGATTTTTTTGCAAAAGATACATTTTAAATTTTCTAATTTTATTTTAAAATAAGAGTATAAATGTACCTTCGAAATGTAATATTCAAGTGTTGCCTCAGACGACAGTCAAATAAAGTAAATAACTGCATGGTTATTCAGTAATCTGTAAGAGAACCTTGACAAATAAAATGCAAATTCCTTTGTTATTGAGATTTACCCTACTTTTTCGTTTCATTTCCTTAAATAAAAACTATTAGATTATTTGAATAATGCGCATTTAAGCCGCTTTGAATTACGTTCGTCATGTAATCATTTCCATTGTTGTAGAAAACGATCGACGTAATTTCACAGTGAGAT